GCAAAACTGCCGCTATTCATTTTCGGTCCAGTCGATTCAGTTTTCCGCTCTGAGAGACCGTTCTGATGGCAGTGCGCGCGGTATTCCGCGCACACGCGCCATCGTTTTATCGCCGCCGTACCGCACCCGCGATCCCGATCACCGATAATGCGATTTCTCCGCGCCGCTTTTTAACCGTCGCAACCTCTGCGCCGCGCTTAAAAACCCTTTCGCGCTTCCACCGCTCCTCCCGTCTTGCCCTTTTTTTATTTTCCACGCGTGATTATCCCAAAATTTGAAAAACTGGGATCGAAACGGATCCAGCGGATTGTTGTATTCGTAGCAAAGTGTGCTTTATTTGCCTTCCTATCTTTTACCTTCAATCGCTTCATCGATAGTCGCGTTGTTTTCGAGCGAACGTTTCTATCGTTTCGAAGAATCTGTTACGCGATAATTTTTACGGACGGGTCTCAACGATTCGAAATTACGCGTTTACACGAAACACACGTACTACGAAACAGAGAGGTGTTACGTATCTGTAACAGGGGTTAGGAGGAAATCGAAAACGATCTTCTTAGATGATAGAATGGAAAAGTAATCGCGTCTACGTGTAGATTTTGTTTGACCGAGAGGCGAAATAAAAGGCACGAGGTGACACGAGGCCCGGCGAGAAAAGTCACGTTGCTGAGGATGAATCGGAGCGTTAGACGCGAACTGTGCGAAGTGGCGCAGTGGAAAAGGGGACTTTCCGTGCCATTACTCAAAGATGGCATTGGAGTCCGGTGGCCTAATCTCGGCACATGAGACCTTAATGGGATTTTAAGGCGTCGAGGCCACCTGCGCGCTCCCCCACGGACAACCTCGTTTGTCTTTCCTCTCTACCAGTTTTGGCCATTCTTATTCCATTCAAGGCCGAATAGGATATACCTATTCGACCCTACGATACAGGATCTCGCTTGTGACGTCCGAATTTGGTAATCGCGCATCGCTCGCGCTGTATTCCGATACACGATCCTGCTGAAATGCTCGCGATTCCTGAATATAGTACAGAGAGAGGGAGAGAGAGAGAGAGAGAGAGAGAGAGATCGAAATTGAATACAATTTTTATTTTGGAGGATGCACGTTTGTTTACGCGGTGTTGGGAATAAACGATGAGGAAAGATTAAATAATTCGCGAACGCGTGGAACGATGTAATAAAATTTGTACGTTATATTTTTAAATTTCAGGGTCGGCGTCGGCAGGGCGCACTTCGAAAAACAACCACCGAGTAATTTGAGAAAAAGTAACTTCTTCCATTTCGTGATCGCTCTTTACGATCGACACGGACAACCGATCGAGATAGAGAGGACTTCTTTCATGGGTTTCGTCGAAAAAGATCAGGTAAGAGAAGGACACTTCCTCATATATATATAAGTACATTTTAGAAGGTATAGAGGGAAAAATCTCGCGCATCTGATATATATATATGTATGGATAAAAAAATCGGGGATCATTGGTTAATAATCAAGTTAAAATTAAGCGATGGCGTCGAGTGACAAGTTTGGAATTTCAATGCACATCGTAGTCCCCGTTTTCCCCATGAGGTTAAGTGGAAAAAGGCGAGGTGGACCTTTATGACATGAGGGAATATCGTGCGAGCGTACGCTTATCTCGATAATTGCCGTTTCCATCGGGGGCGACGTCAAATATTAAACGGCTCCGCCTATACGTATACATATCGATAGTCGGCAGGCTACACCTCCAGCTTTTCCAGCAATTAGTCCGACAGGCGAAAATCCATTGGCCGCGTGAGAAATGGACGGACGCGATCGTAAGAGCATCGATGTTGTCACGCGAATCGAGCCAACCTACGAATAATAACCTTTCCATTTTCTTTCGTCTCTCTCTCTCTCTCTCTCTCTTCCTATCGCAGATTCTATCTCTTCCAACATTCGTTACTAAATCGTTCTACCGTTGAAAATACGTCCCCGAGCGGAATAACCGTTATATTCGATTATTCGCCCAACGTCTTAGCTTTAAATATTTAGATCGATACGCGTCGTGTGTCTTTTCCTTCTCTCGAATTTTAACCGAGATACCGTTCGAAATGTAGATACAAAGAAAGTAAAAATAATTGTAAAAGTGAAATGTTAAGGAATATTAGTCGTCAAGTTCGAATTTATTGAAATATCGGAAGCGTAAATCGAAGTATCTAATGTATTTTCATTGCATCCGTTCGAAGAAATGGCAAGAATTCCTGGCAAATAAAGTCATTAATACGTGCTTTTCAACCTTTACATTTTTCCCCCCCGAGAATGCATTAATTAAAAAGCAATCAATCGGTAAATGCAAATTTCTTCGACTATGCAGTTTTCCTATTCTCTGATTGATTCGTAACAGTAGCTCTCGAGCTACTTCTTAATTCATTTTTGTGGCGATTTTCTTAAGTTTTTGCGCCTTTTAAATTAATAAATAATTTATATCTGCAACGAGATCCGCGTGGAAAAAGAAAAATACATGTAACGCATTAACTAATAACTCGCGAATTCGAATTCAAAACATAGTTGTGACGCGAAAGTTGCAATTTTTCTACCTTTCTTCCTTCTTTTTTCTTTTTTTTTTTTCGTAATTCAAACCACAAACAATCGTTCTTCGTTCTTTCTACTTTTTTCTCGAGCTTCCATCCGGTTACCCTGCGCTTTCTTGCAACGGGTGAAATCCCGTCGATCTTGAAGTGATCTTTCAATTAAACGTAAAGTTATCAGTTATGATCGAGATGATATATAGATCAGAAGGATAAGAGATCGAAACGACTCGGGGATAAGTCGCGACCCCGTGCGAACGGTCTGCGAGCGGGACACGATTGACAGCGGCGCAGTCATCGTTAGAGCTCCACTTTCTATTGGTCAATTAGTATAGCTGTTTAAGGAAAAGCTGACTGCCACACGCGATTTAACGCTCATTCTTGCGCAAAAGAAATCGCTGTAACCGCACTGGTACAGAGAAAGAGAGAGAGAGACAGAGAGTGAGAGAGATATCGTTCGTGCGGACGACCACGCGAATGGTCGCGTATCCCTTCTACCGTGCGCCTCGAACCAGTACGAGGTTCGAGTTTGTACATCGTAAATCGATTACCCGTGTATATCATAGAACACTCGAAACGTCAGATACATGACAGAAATCCAGATCCACGATATAAGGATAAATTACCGTGACACGAGTGTACGTACGATTGTACGGATGTAGAATTTCGAATGGATTCTCTCCTCTCTCTCTCTCTCTCTCTCTCTCTCT